ATATTATGTTGCTTTAACGAAATTGTGAAATGATAATGTTTTTGAAATGATAAGTTTTTGATACGTCTAAAGTTTTTAGACGTTGAGGTTATCTATAAGCTTGTGTGCTCCAAAACAGTGACAAACGTCGCATTTAGAAGTTTGTCACTTTCGCGTAATTGGATAAACTACTTTTTTTAATGTCCAATCAAATGCTCTCTAGTATCTGATATGCCCCGCCCCCTTCAAGATGCTATTGCTGTATGCACTTAAGCTTAATCACTCTCCCTGGTAGAGATGTGTTTATAACAAAATGCTTTTGGCTGTTTTTTTAACAGGGGGAGGGGCTACTTTATGTCCCGCCCTGTTTTCATGGTTCAGTCTAAATTACAAAAAAATTGCACATTTCAAAGCACTTCATGAGATCTTTAAATTGTCAAGCTCTTTAAAGAATGCTGATTGGCTGTCAGTGTTTCCGTGAAAAACATTCTAAAAGGGATGCCAGCAATATTGCTCATCTTTGTTTTTGCTCATTTTTTTTTTTTATTGTTTGTCATCTGAAAAAAAAATCTGAAAGTGATTTTATAAATATTGTTCCTGTATCAATTTCGTTAACGTTCTGTTTTCATGGTTGAAAAAAGTGATTTCAGCGATGTTGTTCCTCCGTCGCTTGTTTTTATCGTAGAATTTCAACGATATTGAATTATAGTATTTTTAGGTCTTTTATGTCATATCAGCAGTAATGTGTGAGTAAAGAATTTGTCAAATGTCCCTCAGGTTGAGATAAACGTGCGATCACTGCCCGTCCTCAGAGATTCAGACCGGATTCGCTGCAGTTTCGGCTCTTATAACAGCACTGCCAGGATGGTGGACGGGCGAATCAGCTGCCATTTACCTGAACAGCCCTTCATTCCACCAACACCTCCAAACCAGGGTACGGCACAACATTTCATTCATTTATAAGTGCTGATAATAAACTATTACATTTATATTTCATAGTATTTTTTTTATTTGTCAACATTTAACCATGCATTGCATCAGTGCATTTTATTATATAATTTGTTATTGTCTTGTCCTCACACGAACTTTCAGAAGACTAATAAACAGTTCTAATCCACTTATGCTGCATTCATAATGTTCATGTTTCTTAAGCCCTATTCGGTTGGTAATTGTTTCTCAGGGGGATGTAAAGGATTTTAGCCATTATCAGGGGTGTAGATGGTGACTTTGTTGTTTTATTTTTCTCTCAAGCTCATGTGAAAATCCCTAGCTTAATTACTTACTGTTTTTTGACAGGGTTGTGTCATTTAACTTCTATTAGTTTCTAATAACACTTCTGTAAAGTTTCTATAAAAGATCGATCTAAAAGTCATTTGTAAACTTTTTTGGCCCCTGAAACACACCAAACTGTTGGTCCCCAGGCCGAACTTTTTTGTAAGTTTCGGTTTCAGTCACCCGCTGTGGTTTTAAAAATACTCATGTTTATGTGGACAAGACCTTAATTTCTGTGTACTCTGTTTATTACTGACTAGCTAACACAAGCTAACATTTTTATGGTTGTTGTTAGGTTTTATCGTAGAATTAAAAAAAGCTGTAAAAGAGAATTCAGCTATTTTGTTCCACTGTTGTTAATGTTATCGTTAGTTTTAATCTTCAGGGATATTGTTCCTTTGTGCTTGTATTGTTTGTTTTTATCGAAAAAAAAATGCTCTAAATGCGATGTCAGCCGTTTTGTTCCTTTGTGTTTGTATTGTTTGTTTTTATCATAGAAAAATGTTCAAATTTGTTCAAATTTGATTTCAGCAATGTTGTTTCTTTGTGTTTGCATTATTAGTTTTTATCATAGCAAAATAGCTCTAAACGCGATTCCAGTGATTTTGTTCCTTTGTGTTCGTATTGTTACTTTTTATTGTAAAAAAAATAGCTCTACGTCGATTACTTAAATTTTGTTCCTTTGTGCTCGCATTGTTTGTTTTTATCATTGAAAAAATTATCTAAATCTAATTACTGTGATTTTGTTTCTCAGTGCTCTTATTGTTCGTTTTTATTGCAGAAAAATAGCTCTAAATGCAATTTCAGCGATTTAGTTCCTTTGTGTTTGTATTGTTAGTTTTTATCATAGAAAAATAGCTCTAAATGCGGTTTCAGCGATTTAGTTCCTTTGTGTTGTAATGTTCATTTTTGATTTAAAAATAGCTCTAAATACGATTTTCACGATTTTGTTCCTCTATGTTTGCATTGTTAGTTTTTTATCGTGGGGAAAAAATGCTCCACATGCGATTTCAGCGATGTTGTTCCTTTGTGGTGGTATAGTTTTTTATAGTTGAAAAAATGCTCTAAATGCGATTTCAGCTAATTTGTTTCTCAGTTGTTAATGTTGTCACTAGTTTTATCATAGAAAAATTGTAAAACGTGTTTTCTATTTTATACTATTTGTTAACTTTTACATTATTGTATATATGTTGTAGAGCGACCCTGAGTTTCTTGAAAGGCACTTTAAATAAAATTTATTTTTATTATTATTATTATTATTATTATTATTATTATAAAAAGGGAGCAGTTAATGAAAACAGAAGAGGCGATTTTAAGTCTCTCTTTCATCACTGCATAATTCAGAAAATACTGCGAGCAGCCAGAAAAAAAAAAAAAAATGTTCATAATAAAAACTT